ACTGGTTATCTAAAGGCAATTCCCATGAGACCATTGTCCAAGGTCTAAAATTACCTAGCTGCACCACTACGGAAATGAAAAACATACTTTGAACTAAAGAAGATGTAGGAAACTCGTGCATAATAGGCAGAGCAGAGTCCCAGGACCAACAAATTTGGAAACAGTCTGAAGGAGTACATTCCAAGAAACTGCAAGTACCACCACACAAGTTGGTTGCAAATAACCTTTTAACTCATACATTTTGGCTTTGAAATATATGGTGATGGGTAAGCATGGGTAAGAAAACACTAAAAGATGCATTCCATATATATAGTATTTGTGCAAGTGCTGTGATTCCTGTTCCTCAGGCGTGCGGTTGTTTTTCAGCACAAAGGCACTCCAAAGAAGAATTAAGCCTGATTCTTTAAAATCAATGCACCCATTGGGGCAGACAGATAAAAAGAAAAGAGCAGAGCGACAAGGAACGATCTGTGGTGTGCTCGCACCTACATAGCCATTAAGGGTCTGCTGGAGCTTGTTGTTACACCACCTCTGGAACAGTGTGAGACTGTTGTCCCTGAGCTCCAAGGCACATTTACAACACGATGGGGAACAACAGCAGAAGAAAATTCACATTGCTTGTTCCACAGAGCTTGCTGCAGCACCGACTTTAATGTGTGCATCTGTGTTTATTTCAGGGTAGAAAGTGAAAGCAATGGGATGAATGGCATTATGAAAGAAGTCAAATAAGGAATGATGGCAGGTGGGGAGATAAAGGGCTGATCTACTGAGAAATCTGAAGCACTTGACTATATATTGTACTCTGTACACACACACACGACTACATGGGGATCACTGAATTGGACTTACACTCTTTGTAAGAGATTATTCTTTTCTGGTAGTTGCTGTGAGTTTGCTAATGAAGAAAAAAAATAGTATTTGCTGGGAGGCATTCTTGTTTTGAAACTTAAATGTTAAAAGAAGGAGGTTTGTCAACTTCTGCTAGATCTGTAAATGCAAATGCCTAACTAGAGCTCCATACTTATCCAAACATCTCAGTTAGAACTGTTGCTGCTATTGTTGTGAGTCATGCCTGCTTAAATGCACAGTATTTCTAGGTTTTGGGTAGGGACATGCAGATCATGTTGTGAACCTCCCTGAGAACTTGGGTGGTATAGAAAATAATTAAATAATTCAGCAAAACTTGAGTTCCCTAAAGTTCTCCCAATTCCAACCTGAAGCTGATTCTGACTCAAGTCCATATTGAATTGTGTGTCTTCTGTTTCTCTTTTCATGTGAAAATCTGTGTATCCTACACAGTTTGTTAAATGTTTGGTGAATCTTTGAACTGTATGCACTCTTCTTCCATTGATTAATGTTATGCACATATTTGAAAATGCACATTTTTCATGTGCAGTTTTCCAAAATACACAAGCACTTTTTTGGTCTGTGAAGCACATTGCAAGCTTACAAAAGTATGCACATCAACAGCAGATTGTGCTCAAGTTTGTGTCTGCTCTGGAAGGTGGAAACTGGGCAAATGGAAATGAAGTTCTCATATATTCCTAGTTTTGGGACCTTATGATCCTGAATGAACAAGCACTGCTGTCAGCTTTATAAGGAGTTTTTAGGAAGAGAGCCAGTGTGGTGTGATGGTGGAAGTGCTAGGGAGATCTGGATGCTACTCCACACTGCCATGAAGCTTACTGGGTGTTTTTTGACCAGGCATGGAATTTCAGCCCAGCCCACCTGTCAGATTTGTTGCTGTGAGGATAAAATGGATCCCTGAGGAAAGCCTTGGGTGCCCTCACAAGAAAAAAAAAAAAAAAACTCAGGGTAGAAATACAATGGAATACTGCTACTGCTGCTGCTGCTAATACATGTATCTCCTTCTGTTAGGTAGTCAGAACTGGTCTGTTCACTTATGCAGTTCTGCTGATTGTGCCCTTGGTGATTATAAGCCTTCAGAGGCTTGTGAACATCCATGGAGTGTGGGGAAAATCTTCCTCCTACCCTACAATTCAGCCTAATGTTTGGCTGCAGCACTTTGGAGGGGAAGGAAAGGAGGCTGGAGTGCTGACAGGATACCTTGTATTCTGCTGGCCCCAGTCTCCTCCTCACCTGCTCCCTTAATCCCTCTCCAGGTTCAACTCCTGAACTCAGAGTAGCAGCTGGTGTGGCTCTTTTCTAGCCAGCTGCAAGGAAGGAGCAGGATCAGAGTGCAGATCCTCACATCTGGTGACAGAGCTTTGTCCCAACCTTGCATCTAGGCATCCAGAGCAGCCAGTGATCTCTTCGACACTGTCTAGAGCCATGGGCTCACTCTCCATAATTCTTAAAGGTTTGGGAAGATGCATCTCTTGGAGGTTCTGTGTAAAGAATTACTTGGAGAATCTCTGAATGTCGCTGTTTCATAGAATCACAGAATAGTAGAGTTGGAAGCGACCAGAATTCCATGGGGTACACCCCCTGCTATTGCAGGACCCTAAGTTACAACATTCCACTGCGATGTCTATCCAGATGTTTTTTTACTGTCTCTAGCAGAGGATTGCCCACAAATTACCCAGGTAATAGGTTCCATTGGCTGACAGTGAGGAAAGTCTTTCTGGTGTCTAGCCTAAAACTCGTTTCTTTTCATTTAAGACTGTTATTCCATGTCCTGCAATCCTGAACTGGCAAGAAGAGATCATGCCCTTCCTCCTTGAGACAGACTTTCTGGTACTTGTAGAGTGCTATCATATCACCCCTGTCTTCTCTTCTTGAGGCGGGACATGCCTAGTTCTCTCAATCTTTCCTCATAGGACTTTGCCTCCAGTTCCTGAATTGTTTCCCTCCTCTGTACCCTTTCAAGCTTATCTGCATCTTTTTAAAACTTAGGTGCTCAAAACTGGACACAGTACTTTAGTTGAGGACTGACTAGTGCTGAGTATAGGGGAGCTAGTATTCCATGTGTTTTGGAAGTGATACTCCTGTTAATGCAGTCCAAAATAGAGTTTGCCCTTTTTGCAGCTGCATCACATTGTTGGCTCATGTTTAGCTTGTATTCGACAACAACCCCAAGATCCTTCTAGTTTGCAGTATTGTTGAACCACGTGTCCCACATTTTGTAGTGATGCATTTGGTTTCATTTTCCAAAGTGGAGGATTTAGCATTTGTCTCTATTGCATTTCATTCTGTCATTCTTTGCCCAGTGTTCTAACCTATTGAGATCATCCTGTATCTTATCAGGGTATTTACTATTCCTTGAAGCTTTGTGTTTTCTGCAAATTTGATTATCTTTGCATATACTTTCTCTTCTAAATATTTAATAAAAATGTTGAAGAGTAGCCCTCCCAGGACAGAGCCCTGTGGCACCCCACTTGTCTCTTCTCCTTAGTTTGAGAACATGCCATTGATGAGCACTCTTTGTGTGCAATTTTGCAGACAATTATGGATCCACCTAATGGTTGCACTATCTAGCCCACTTTTTGCCAGTTTGGTAGTTCAGTAATTTTGGTAGTTTGGAATGTTGTGGGGCACTTTGTCAAAGGCTTTGCTAAAGTCTGGATAGATTATGTCCACAGCTTTCCCATAGTCCATTTGGGAGGTTACCTAGTTAAAAATTGAAATAGTCTGGCAGGATTTGTTCTGCCCTCCCGCCCCTTGAGATCAGCAACAGATGCCCTTCTCCGGGAACCCTCTGTGAATGATATTAGGAGGGTGAGTACCCGGAGGAGGGCTTTCTCTGCGGTGGCGCCCCATCTATGGAATGCGCTCCCCAGAGAGGTCCACCTGGCACTGTCGTTATTTGTTTTTCGGCGCCAGGCTAAGACCTTTTTATTTAAAACTTATTTTAATTGTTAAATTATTTGAATTAATAGGATTTTAAATTTTTAGCAGAGATGCACCCGGGGCTTTTAAACAATTTTTTAAAATTGTTATATTGTTATTATTTATGTATTTATGTACTTTGTATCCTGTTGTGAGCCACCCCAAGGCTTTGTTGCGATGGGGGCGGCATAAAAATGTTTTAAATAAATAAATAAATAAATAAATAAATAAATAAATAAATGTTAGCTTCTACTAATTATTGGATTGTCATTAAGGTGTTTGCAGACTGATTGTTGTATAATTTGCTCTAAATTTTTTTCCAGGGATTGATATCAGACTTACTGGTCTATAGTTCCCAGGTTCATCTTTTCCTCCCCTTTGTTGTAGATGGGGACAACATTAGCCCTTCTCTAGTCATCTGGCACTTCCCGTCTTCCATGATCTCTGATGACTATTAATTGTACTTACAAATGGTAACTGCTCAGTGAATTAAATTCCAAACCATTAGCCCGGAACTTGTAATCTCTCAGAAAAACAGGACATACATGAAAAGGTTATATAATGGTGGGGAATCTTGAGATGCTTTAAGGCATTCTTGTTACATTACACTTTGAAATGCAGTATATTGTCAACTTTAGTCTGGGTGTATAACACCTGTGGATATTGTAAAGAAATAATGTATATGTCAGATCTTCATGGAGTTCTGGGAAATAATTTTATTTTCATATATACCAGTCATTTCTAAACTGGCCACAGGAGCTTTGTGGGAGAATAGCAGAAGGCAACTCAGCACAATCCCATGTATGTTTAGACAGGAAAAAATGCCTACATTTCTTAGTATTCCTTAGCCAGCATGCTGGGCTTTGTGTCCTTAGGCTGCAATGGGATCCTCTGAAATTCAGCAAGGCTTATTTTTGTGTAGACATGTATAGGATTGCATTTGAAAGCTAGCAGTTCTGTCAGATGGTGGTATGTTTCAAATTTCCATTGGAACATACATTCCAGTAAAAGTTTTAGGGAATTTTTGCACAATTTACCTTGAGATATCCTATACCTTTGGGGTTGCATCCTTTGCTTCCTGGATTTGCCTGTCATAAAGGGAATAAAATGGAGAAACAAATATATATCCAGAGATGTTTCTTCAACTAAAGAGAGTATATTTGTTGGTCTCTCTCACATACATTGATGTAAGGATTTTCCCTTTCCTACAGATCATCAAAAGCTGGAACGAGAGGCTCGGATTTGCCGCCTCCTGAAGCATCCTAATATAGGTAGGCAAAAAGCCTTCTTTTTGTGTTGCATGCATATATTTGCAGAGGCAATGCACTTCTTTCTTTCACTCCTGCTGATTGTTAGGACCTGGTCCATTTTGGAATGGAGTGTCAGTACTGTCCATTTCATTTTTTTAAAGCAGCACCAGTTAACTTTGATGTCTTCACCAAGCAGTTTTGATAGAACTTGTATATATGTTCTGTGGAAATGAATCTACTGGAATAATGGAAATCTGCAACTTTAGTATGTTCCAGTATTTCATGTGTTGCCTGGAGTGCAACAATCTTCCTCTCGCATCTGAAGGCAGCTTGACTGAAATATATAGGTGTTGAACAAACCTGTGGAACTACGTTTTATGCTTGTACATTATTCTTACTGTCCCATTTACCTTTTATGGGGGCTTTTTCCTCTTCATAAAATGGATCTGTTTTGAACCGACCTTCATTTGTACTAATCCTTATTATCCTTTTAATGCTCCCAAAACACAACCACCAGGTTCAGACAACATGGTTCACCACACTCAGGGGTTCAGTATGGATTGAAAGGGTTGCTGATGAACCACGGCTTATTGTAGAAAGGTGAGCTACCATGTTGTCTTAACCCCAGGTGAGTAGCAAATCATGGTGAACAACCCACCGTTCATAACCCAAAAACCATTAGTTTTCTTTTTGGATTGTTTGTGGTTAACAAGATACAGCTTGTCAGCACAGCAGGGTTCATATTATAACCATTTCAGCAACAGTCCACTGGGTTCAATGTCAACCTAAATTAAACCTTTCTCAGCCCTTCAGTGTGAGTTCTTGTGTTTTTTGAACCCAGTCAGTATCTCTGTTTATTTCTATTATCACTGATCTTACTTGCCTGTATGGTAAGAATTTTTTGTATTGATGGGGTCATCCCATTTTTGGCAGTTGGTTATGGTACAATCCCAACATGTGTTTTTCATTTCACTGTTTAGACATTGTTTTAATTTCTCACAATGCCCTGGAGTAATGCTAAGCCAGAGGCATTGTGGGAATTTAAAAATGCAGAGCAGGCATCAGCCGTAGGCCTTGCAAGGATGCTGGGGCCCTGTCAGCTGTTCAAGCGTATCAGTCTTGCTAGCATAATTTTTCTCCCTGTCTGAGAGAAAACAAGAAAATAGCCTTATCCTGTAATCCTAGCATCATAGAACAGTAGAACTAGAAGGGTCCAAAAGGACATTAGGTCCAACCACATGCTCACTGCAGGACTCTAGCACTAGTGCCATGCTTTGGTAATGGACAGGGCAGAGAAGGGAGAACAGATTTTCTTCAGTAGAAAGGCTGGGCTGCTACTAAATTAATGTTGGAGAGAGATTTAGGCGGCATAAATGCTCCAGTGCTACTTAGCACAGTGATAGAGCTCAATGGGGCATGGGGGTTAACAAAAAGTGCAAAATATTATTCTTGAAATGACTGAGAGGCATGTAGTGAGAATACAGCTTGACTGCTATTAAACTTTTTATATAACTAGCATTATAGGAGTACTCTGGTACCATAATAGCAGACCAGGGAAAGCACAGGGACTGAGTGGGGGGCAATAGCAATATTGAAAACCAGAGAAAAATGAAGCTGGTATGGGAATTCTGGGACTAATGGCTTGTTATTAATGATACCAAAGATACCCTCCAACACCTACTCATGGCACTTGTGCAACCATGTTCTGCACAGCAGGCCCAATAGCAATGGAAGCACTAGCTGGGATGGGATGGAATTGCATTTCCCAATGCCAAATACTGTGATTGTTTAAGAACTGAATAGTTGCACCTTTTAAACTGCTGGCCTACTTGCCAATGCTGAATGCAACTGCCAGTGCCACCACAGGCTTTTGAGGCAAGACACCCTCACTGGACCCTCTGCCTTGGTGAGGCTGCCTTCCCACCTTCATTGTCACCAGCTGCCATTACTTCTCATCCTTTTTCTTATCATTGCTGCAGGCAGAGAACCAGTAAGCAGCATCTATGGAATACGCTCCCCAGAGAGGTCCACCTAGCGCCGTCATTATATGTTTTTCGGCGCCAGGTTATGACCTTTTTATTTCATCAATATTTTAATAAGCTTTAATATTGTATTTTTAATATTATATTTTTAACTGCAGCCAGAGTGGGTCGATTTGTTTATGTTGATTTTTATGTTGAGATTCTGTCATAATTTATTTATATTTATATTTTATTTATGTAAGCCGTCCTGAGGCTTTTGCAATAGGACTGCATATAAATATCACAAACAAACATAAATCTACTGGAGCCAAAGCTGGCCTGTGGAGGGTTGAACACCCCCCATAGACCCTGCCACCTCACCTCCATTGCCCACCCCCAGAACAAGCAGTGCAAGTGCTAATCCCTTTGTTGTCTCTGATCAAGGAGATTAGACATAAGCTAGGGACTTCCATGACCCTAAAGAAAGAAGGAGCAGTTTAGCTCAACAGGGGCTTGCAGAAGCCTGCCCTGCCATCCCAGGCAAATCCATTTCTTCATGTCTCCTTCTGCACAGAGTAACCTTTCAATGGCTGGAGTGAGAAAAGATGATGTTATGAAAGGGATTCAAGCCCCCTCTTCTAATGTCCCATAGCCTTCTGGCTTGGTCTCCAGGAAGTTGGGAGCACATCTGTTCCCCACAACCCCACATTTTCCCTCTCCAGCAAATTTAGGTGAAACCTTCAAAGCAGAACCCTTTATTGACCTCTACAGGTTCAACTGCATAATTCAAAGTAGCAATCCCTTTGAAATGTGGGAGAAATAACTGACCATATGAAGAGTTGACTCAAAACTGGAACATCCCACACTTTTCCCCTTTTTTCAGAAAGCACTTGACTCACCCTCAGGGTGGCTTGCGCAGCTTGAGGGCTAGATGGAGGGAAGACCAGACCAATTAAGTATGGCCTGATGCCGCCTGGCAATAGGGTTAAAAACTCACCACAGCCTGTTCTGTAGTGTGTCCCTCCTGCTCTGAGTTGCTCCTGCTTCCCATGCTCTGGCTGAGTGATCTCACATGGTGACCTTGACAGTTCAGAGACTTGTGTGAATTCCTGCTTATCCTTCTCTCACTCTGAATCTGAACTAGCTAGCTGGGGAGACAGTCACCTAGGAGGACAGGGAGTCCTTTCTGCTCCTGGACCAACATGGTTGCCCTCCCCTGATCTGCTGCTGCTTCTCACTACTACCATTGTTTGGACCACAACAAGAGGCAAATGAACCATCAGGTTGCCATCGTGAAGAGGGGGTGCAATCCAGGGGCCTCTGGTCAGTGGGCCTCTGCTAAGTTGTGGGCCCTCCACAAGTGCCTAATCATGCGCTTGATGCTGCCCCTGAAAGCAACCCTGTACCCTCAAGGGCAAAATAATCCTGAGTGTCCTGTCTAAAATGACTCTAAAAGTAAGAAAACCCCATCGCTTGCTTTTAATTAGTTTTGGTAAAATAGCTGGACATGCCTCATAGTATATTTCAGGAGATAGGTTCTGTCTTCCTATGCTGATTATTATTTAAGCACAAGACTCATTTCAGTGGCTCTTCTTGGGCAATGCAAATGATCAATATGGTCCCTCTGCCTGGTCCAGACCAGAGCCTCAGTAGGGCAAAGGTTTGAAGCCACATCAAGAAAACACTAGTGCAACACCAGCCTTTTAGGCTACTTTTCTGGGAACCTGCCTCTACCTCAGAGTGGGAATAAGAAGGCAGGTGGCCATGCTCTTAGTCTCTACTGGCCAAGCAGTTACCCTGTTTTTCCTTCCTTCCTTCCTTCCTTCCTTCCTTCCCTCCATGACTTACTTGATCAAGTGTAACAGAAATGTACTATGCAGACTAATAAAAGTTTAGATAGAGGATTCAGTTGAGCCCAATCGTCCAATTAAGTAAACTTAATTAAAGTAAATAATAATAAAACTTTATTACTGTCAAAGCCCAGACAAAAAGTAAATAAAAAGGATAGTGAAGGAAAGTGGTGGATATGTTAATAAAATTAACAAAATGATGTGTTAACAAAATTAACCCCCCCCCCCAAAAACAAACCTGCACCCCCAAATGCTGGTGTGCCTTCAGTCTTTGCTGAGCCATCTATGCCAGCACTAGACTTGCATTAAGGCCTCCGTGCCAGCAACAAAGCGCCTTGTGCTTGGCAAGGATTGGAAAGAGGGAGCCACTCAGAATGTTGGACTGAAGTGATCTTGACCAGCTGAGGGCCATGCAGAAGGTGTTTGGCAACTTCCCATCATTTCCATCAGCTATGCTGGATGGGGTTGATGGAAACTAGTCTATTCCTCCTGGGGAGCACCAGGTTAGAGAAGGTTGATTCAGGGCATTGGGATGTCATCTGATAAATGTAGCATATGAAAGATGTAGGACAGAAGAAAGGAGGGGAAAAGAAACCCCTAAGTGTTGTGACTGTGATGTAGTCACTCTGTCTTGTTCCCCATTTCCCAGAGCCTGAGCTGTCATGGCTGGATGACACCTACAGTACCGACCTAAATAGAGCTTTGCCTAGTGTGAAATTGTGGCATTTGGGCCAAACGAAATAATCTCTCGTGGATTTGATGATTTTTAGTCTAAGCTGCACTATTAGATGCAGAAAACCTGCATCAAAAAAGAAACAAAAAGAAACGAAGCAAAATGAAACAAAAAGAAAAGATGGTTGGCAGCAAGTATCAGTACAGTAGAATGATAAAGCCCACAAATGTACTTTCCAGATGGGTACTATACAATGTTGGTTTATGGGAATATATGATTAAAGACCCTCTTTTTGTCATGTTGATCTATTTGCATTTGTCTAGATTCTTTGTTGTATATAATGTTGATCTAGCCTTAGAGTTATGCTCATTCACAGACAATTAAGTGTTAGGACCCAAAATATGTCAGGTGCAGAGAATAAGTATCTGCTATTAATATTCTGCTATTGCTACTGAATTCAGATGCAGTATTACAAAGATCCCAGGTTTACATCTCAAAGAGAGCCATTGTCATGTAGTGGTGAAGAATGCAGGACTG